GGGAGGGGCGGCGGGCGCTGGGGCAGGAGACACTGGGCCTCCATCCAGGGGAGCCCAGCAGACAACACGGGGGGGCGAGGGGGCACTCACCGCTGAGCCCACGCCGCCCACAGGAGTCCCGGCGTGGATGGGGGGGTCCTCAGGACGCGGGGTCCCCTGCACTAAGCTCCGGGAGGCCCTGTGCCCGCGGTGGCTGCTCCTGGCTCCTGTCTGCCGCCCTCACGCTCCCTCCCGGGGGGGCGGGCAGAGAGGAAGGAGGACCCACAGGCCAATATGCAAAAAAGGAGGGAAGAGGGAAGGAGCGGCTTCCTGCTCCCCAGCGGAGATCAGGGCTGCGATCAGTCGCAGGTGGGGGGCGGGCCCTGCCGGCACAGTGCTCCCCACAGGCAGGCCTGGGAGAGGGGAAGCTGCCAGGCCCCCAGCTCGCGGGACCGGAGTGGCCGCGCACCTGCCACCCCAGGTGTCCGCCCGAGGGGGCAGTTTCCCACCGTGTGGGGCACCCCTGGCCTCACCCATTTGTCACAGGAAAACGTGAGAAGGACAAGGAGGCAACGACCCATTAGGCAGCCGCCCTGGACGGGCCTCAGGGCTTCCCTTCAAGCCCTCAGCAGGGAAGGGACAGGGACAGGGACAGGGAAGGGACAGGGACAGGGATAGGGAAGGGACAGGGACAGGGATAGGGGAGGGACAGGGACAGGGAAGGTACAGGGATAGGGACAGGGAAGGGACAGGGATAGGGAAGGGACAGGGACAGGGACAGGGAAGGGACAGGGAAGGGAAGGGAGGGAAGGGAAGGGACAGGGACAGGTGGAAGGGAAGGGCAGGGCTAGGGAAGGAGAAGGGACAGGTAGGGAGGGAGGAAGGGACAGGGACAGGGACAGGACAGGAAGGTAGGGAAGGGACAGGGACAGAGACGGCACAGGGACAGGGACGGGGACAGGGAAGGGATAGGGAAGGGACAGGGACAGGGATAGGGAAGGGACAGGGAAGGGAAGGGAAGGGACGGGATAGGGAAGGGACAGGGACAGGGACAGAGACGGCACAGGGAAGGGACAGGGATGGGAAGGGACAGGGACAGGGATAGGAACAGGGAAGGGAAGGGACAGGGATAGGGAAGGGAAAGGGACAGGGATAGGGAAGGGACAGGGAAGGGACAGGGATAGGGATAGGGAAGGGAGGAGGTAGGGAAGGGAAGGGAAGGGACAGGGATAGGGAAGGGACAGGGAAGGGGAAGGGAAGGGACAGGAGAAGGGACCGGGAAGGGAAGGGACAGGGACAGGGATAGGGAAAGGACAGGGACAGGGATAGGGAAGGGACAGGGATAGGGACAGGGGGACTGGACTTAGGGAAGGGACAGGGATAGGGACAGGGACAGGGATAGGGAAGGGATAGGAAAGGGACAGGGACAGGGATAGGGAAAGGACAGGGACAGGGGATAGGAAGGGGACATGGACAGGAAAGGGACAAGGATAGGAACAGGGACAGGGAAGAGGACCAGGGGAATGGATAGGGAAGGGACAGGACAGGGGACCGAGATGGGCAGGCAGGGGACAGGGATCGGGACAGGGACAGGGAAAGCGGAAGGGGCCAAGGATGGGAAGGGATAGGGAATGGGATAGGAAGGGACAGGGATAAGAGAAGGGGATAGGTAGGACAGGGGATCGGGAAGGGACAGGGATAGGGACAGGGATAGGGAAGGGATAGGAAAGGGACAGGGACAGGGATAGGAGGACAGGGACAGGGAATGGAACAGAGGGACAGGGGATAGGGACAAGGATAGGGACAGGGACAGGGATAGGGAATGGATAGGGAAGGGACAGGGACAGGGACAGAGAAGGGATAGGGAAGGGACAGGGATAGGGAAGGGACAGGGACAGGAAAGGGACAGGGACAGGATAGGAACAGGGACAGGGACAGGGACGGGGACAGGGACAGGGACGGGGACAGGGACAGGGACAGGGATAGGGAAGGGACAGGAACAGGGACAGGGACAGGGACAGGGATAGGGACAGGGACAGGGAAGGGACAGGAACAGGGACAGGGAAGGGACAGGGACACAGACCACCGCAGGGCGGGCCAGGCCTCCTCTCCACTTGGCAACGTCTACCCAGCCCCCTTGTCCTCACTCCTAATGTGTCACAAGCTCTGACAAATACTTGTCTGAATGTCACCAAACACTTAAAACCGCGCCACCTCAGCTCCCGAAGCCACAGCTCGGGAAGCCGAAGGCCGAGCCGAGTTACAGGAGGAGGGCTGGGGCGGGAGTCTCCTGCACACGGCAGCAGGAACAGGGGTGTCCTCCGAGAAGAGGGGGCGTGGGGAGCCCACAGCAGGTACCACCGGTCTGGGGGGGCTGCCGAGTCCCTGCGAGCGCCAGTCCTAGCTCCCTCCTTGGCCGAGGCTGCGCGGTGTGGGCAACGCTACCCCTCCCCCCCCTCCGGCAGCCCGGCTGGGCCCGCAGCCCAGCGCACAGGTGCCGCCGTGCGAGCAGGACCTTCCGGCTCGAGGGGTCATGGCCCAGTGGGTCTGGGCTAGTGAGGGTGGGTCACTTGTCTCTGGGACATCACGCACGTCTGGGCTGTGCCCATGCAAACGCAGGGACAGTGGCAGGGAGCAGGGCTCAGGGCGGGGGGTAGAGGGCTGGGGGGATGGGCGGGGACGGGGGCAGCACCAGGTCACAGGAAACAGACCCACCCAGGGCCTGTCAGTCTGAGAGGCAGCAAGGCCATGAGAGGGCGGCCCTCCATGAGCTGGAGGCGCGGGCACCGGCCTGCGGACCCGGCTGCACAGCCAGGCTTGTGTCGTGGAGCACAGACGAGGAGGCGGAACCCAAAGCGCCGCCCACGGTGCGTCCGAGGCGGTCTGGCCGCGCTCACCCCAGAGCGCGCAGCGATGGCGGCCCCACGCACCGGTGCCTACGCGGACCGTCATCCGTGCGAAAACCCAGCCTGCGTTAGTCCAAGGCCAACAGCAACGGAACCCAAAGCGGAGCGGCTGCACCACCAGCTCAGTTCACGCGATGCTAACACCCCCACCTGCCCCAGGCCGCCCTCTGCATGCACGTGCGTGCTGCGCGCATGCGTGTGTGTGTGTGTGTGTGTGTGTCCACGACCCACCCACTCATGCCCACAGAGCCGTGAAGTAGACAGTCCGTGTCCGTGGGGCGGGGCGGGGTGGGGTGCCGTGGCCAGCCGCGGGCAGGGTGTACACGGTGCTTTCTCACATTTCAAAACCTGCCATTCCATGGCCAAGCTGTGACTACACCCGCCAAATGTGGAACCGACAGCGGCAAGCCACGTGGGACAGAGTCCCCAATCCAGAGAGCCCGTCCTCCAGAGGGCCCGTCCTCCAACTCTGTCTCCAGCCCAGCGAGGGGGGCGTGGGGGCCCAGCACCCCACCCGCGGGCTCCGGCCTCGGGCCTGGAAGCTCACCCTGGCCGTCATTTCCCAACAAGGGAAGTGGCTGCAGGGACAGCCACAGTGTACCTTCCCCAGGAGACCGGGGGCCAACTTCTCCCCGGGCCGACATGGCACACACTCTTATTCCCGGGCCGGTGGGCTCAGCCGAGCAGGGGCTCTGACTGCACGGGGCTCGGGAATATGGGGGAGGGGGGCAACTTTCGGCGGGGAGCACTGTAGCTCAGACACCGAGGAATCACACCAGCATGGTGGCGGGTCCCGTGAAACAAAAAGGGAAGAAAACAGGACCGGTCCCGGCAGTGAAATGTCTCAGGCACCGGCTCTGGTGGCCTTTTAGACCAGGAAGCACATGTTTGCTTGCTTTTCATGTCAAATAAGGGATCATCGTGGACGTTTGTGGGAAATTTTGAAATCAGATATGTTCTATCAGACCAGGACAGCACAGGACTTTACCGTGTGACATCATTCTTTCTACCTGGGCGCACACATTATTTTTTCAACATGGCCCGCACGGCCTGTGGTGTTTAAATCACCACTGTTTAAGTTTGAAGCCACACAGGCAATCATCGGCTTGGTGGCGGAAACAATCCGGACACGTTGGATATAAATAACGTTTACACGGTTACTTCCCAGATCCCATGTAAAAGGCGGCCCTCCAACCCTCCTCCAACGAACATCTTGAAACAAAGAAATAAAAGCAAGAGGCTCCGACCATTCCCTGCAGGTCCTGTCTCCTCTCAACTCATTAGCCAAAGCGGCAGCCCTCGCCACCATCTGAATTTCCACCCGCGCTGACAGACCCCGCACATTAAATATTTTCAACTTCCACCCTCTCCTCTTCGCACAGAAGTTGATCTCAGTGAGGAGAGGTTTCTTCAGCAGCAGTTTGACTCTCAAGTTCAAAGCCAGGCACCGGGAGCTGAAACACCCCGTGGGGAGCAAGGGGGGGGTTCTGAGCGTGCACCCCGAGGGGGGCCGCCCCTGCCTTTGAACGCGGGCCTGACCAGACCCTAGGAGATCCCCAGGTGCCACCCTCCGCCTCCAGAGCAGAAAAACAAAAGCCCTCGCCTTCCTGAGAGCCCTGAGGAAGCACCCGGGTCCCCAGCGCATCCTGGACGCACATTTCAAATTGCGTGGCAAGTAACCTGATGCCTGGTCACCCAGGCGTTGGCTTCCGAACCCGGAGCCCAAATCGCAGCCGGCAAAAGTATGGCCAACTTTTCCAACCGGCGGACTCTCCGCGGCAGAAAGCAGGCGCGGACGCGGTCTCATGTGTTAGCAAAAGCTCTCGCCCACAAATAAGAAAGAAAAACAGCAACACCTCCTCGTGAATGACGCCTAGAGCCGACCCGGACCTCACGCGTCAGCTCCGATCAGTTCAGATGCGACCAGGAGCCGGTCCTCCTGGTGCCGGCGCGGAGCGCAGTCCCCCGCCAGGCCCTGCACCTGCGCGCTCCCCGCCCGAGAGCGGAGGCGCCGAGCGGACCAGGGGGCCGTCTTACTGCCCTTCCCTTCCCTCCTCTTTTCCCCTCTCTCCCCCGCCGACTCCCCCGTTTTGAGATCCCACCGAAAGCACTCACGTGGATGTGTGCGGCTCACGTTGGGGGCCAAAGATGGTCCTGGGGCAGGAGAGCACCCGCGGGGCCGGGACCGAGCGCCCGCCGGGCTCCAGGCGCCGCGCGTGCCGCCGGCCGCGCTCGGGGACCAGGGCTGTGGCCGCAGTGGCCGCCGGCGGGCGCGAGGCGCTGGTTAGAGCGCCCGTCGAAGTCGGTGGCGCGCTTCCCGGCCGCCTTTCACAACGACTTCCTGGACTCGCTCGCTCGCATTGTTCCCCATTTCTCCGCGCTCCCCACCCTCGCCGCTCCGACCTGCGCGCGCTGCCTGCCGGCCGCTGCCCCGCGCGCACAGCGCCGCCCACGGGCCGCGCCCCTGGCCCTGCGCGCCTCGCCACCTGCGGCCGCCGCCCCGCGCCCCACCAACTTCGGGGCGGCGCGCGCGGGTCCCGGCTCCGCCTGCCAGCAGCCGGCCGGCCCCCGCCCCGCTCGCCGCGCGGGACGCCGAGCGGGACAGGGTCCAGGCGCGGCGCGGGGTGCGGGACTCGGAGCGCGGCAGGAGCCCAGCGCCCCGCCTCCGCCCCGCCGCCGGGCGGCCCGCGCGTGGCACCTTCCCGACCGCAACTCCGGGGCCCCGCGCGCAAACTTTGTCGCGGCGTGGGGCTGGCCGGGCCCCCAGGGTCCCGGACGGGGCGGCTCGGGCCGTACCTGCTGGCGCCGCAGGCTGCAGCCCGCTCGCCCTCCGCGCCCGCCTCGCCCCGCGCGCCTCCGCCGCCCCCGCGCGCAGCGCCACCCGGCCCGCCCCCCGCCGCCGCGCTTCCTCGTTCCAGCACCGCATCGCCCCGCAGCCCGTGCGGCAGGCGGCGGCCGGTGCTGGGCGCCTCGGACTGGCGGCGGGATCGCCCGCGGCGCGGCTGGACCCGCGCTTAACCCTTGGGCGCCCGGCGCGGGCGTGGCCGCGGGAGGAGGGGACACGCGCCGTCAGATCCCGCGCCCTGGGCCGCAGGTCTAGGCCCCGCATCTCGCCAGGCGCAGGGGTCTCGCGGGGCACGGACACCGGGAAGCGCTCTCCGCGTTCGGGGGCGCCCCTGCCCGCCCAGCCCCGCCGCCCGGGGACAGGGCCACTGGGCTCCCCGGCTGGGCTGCGACCCCCAGTCCTGATGCCCCCCGAGGGGAGGGACAATGGATCCCCGCTGGGGCGGGAAACGGGGCTCCTCTTCCCAGACAACCAATGGAATACCTCTGGGCGCTCTTCCCTCCCACCTGCTCGCGCGAGTCAGGATCGCGCCTTCCACCCGGCCGTGCGCACACGCGGGTGTGAAGGGCGGTGGGAGGGGGCGCCGGCGAAGGTGGCCCCGCGGCGCGGCTCTGTGCGCCTCTGAGTCCCCTTCCCGGGCGGAAGCGCGGGGCGAGGTGGCCTTGAGCAGGGAGCAGGGAGCAGGGGGCAGGGGCAAGGCGCAGAGCAGCACCTCCTTGCTCTGCTGTGCGGAGCCCATCACCTGGTGCGCGGCGCCACCTGGGCCGGGGCGGCAGGTGCTCAGAGAGAAGACGCATCATCCTGAATTCAACCGCATTGCCAGGAGGCCGCTCAGGTGCCGAGGGAGGGCTGAGATACTGTCTGGGGGGCTCCTGGGGCGAGTCCTGGGGCGCTGGTGAGAGCCAAGCACCTGTGAGCAGAGACCCGACCTTGGGCAGCCTCCCTGCGGGAGAGCGAGGCTGGGCGCAGGGAGGGGACAGGTGTCAGGCCTCCAGGTGGACAGAAGAGCCAGCGGGGCACCTGCCCAGATGTCCCTTTGGCAGCTAAGTGCGGAGGGAGCAGAGGCCAGGGAAGGCGGGCCTGGCCCAGGAGGCTGTTGGCGGCGGTGGCCTGGCACCCACAGCCGCTTCCCTGGTGCCACCCAAGTCCCTCCCACCCTCCATGCACATCCCAGATGCCTGTCCATCACCCCGGCCCCGGCCCACTCCTCCTGCAGGGACCTCCTGGGCCCGCGACCAGCTGGCTCCCTGCCGCACGCCCAGAGGAGGCAGGGCCAGGTACAGACCGAGACTCTCATTCCCAGACTCCCTACCCTGCATGGCCCGGGGCAAGTGACTGAACCCCTGCCCTCACTGTCCGTATCTGCACAAGAAATACACAGGCCTCATCTTAATGAGTTCTTGGGGGGCGGGGGGGGGGGGAAGGAGGCCAAGCAGAAGGTGTCGGCCCCAGGGGGTGTGGGCGCCTCTGCTTCTTCCTTTTCTGAAAACATTTTTATTGATTTCAGAGAGGAGGGGGGAGGGAGAGAGAGAAACATCAATGATGAGAGAGAATCACTGATCGGCTGTCTCCTGCACGCCCCCTACTGGGGATGGAGCCCACAAAGCCGGGCATGTGCCCTTGACCGGGAATCAAACCCAGGACCTTTCAGTCCCTGGTCGACGCTCTACCACTGAGCCACACCGGCCAGGGCTGCACGCACCGGTCTTGATAAAGGACCGTGGGGTCGGCACCCGCCGGGAAGAGGAAGGTGCGGCCGGCTTTTCCGTCTGTAAAGCACCTGGGGACTTAGTCCCGGTGTTTTGCATTGTTCCCGCCTCTCTCTCCAGCGCTAATACCTCGGAGATCCCACCTGCCAGTCTCAGAGGCGGCAAGAGAGGGGCTGGGCTGTGGGCCCACGCGGCTCCCTGCAGGCCCTCAGCGGAGTCACTTCACCCGGGAACCAGGTTCCCGCTGAACCCGCAGCCGAGGCCCAGGGGCGCTGGCACTGGCAGGACGGCCTGAGGGCGCTGAGTCTTCCGTGGGGACACCTGACGACCGGCGTGGTTCCCTCTCCCCACGGAGACTCTCAGGAGGTGGCCTCCGCGGAAAGCCGGCGAGGAAGGTGGCATGCTCGGAGCTCCCAGACTCACAGCTGGGACTCACCTTGACCTGGCCGCCAGCTGACCTTGAACAACGCAGGGGCGGGCGCGGACGCCCTGGCAGCTGAACATCCGCCTGTAACGCTGACTCCCCTGCACTGACCTGCTCCTGGCCCACGGCTGTGCGGAGCCTGGCCGGTGACATAACAGCGAGTGAACATACATGTTGTATGTTATAAGCACTACAACACTATAAGCACTGTGGTTCTCAACCTTCCTGATGCCGCAACCCTTGTATACAGCTCCTCACGTTGTAATGTTTATGGTTGGTGACCCCCAACCATAACATTATTTTCGCTGCTACTTCATAACTGTAATGCTGCTACTGTTATGAATCGTCATGTAAATATCTGATAGGCAGGATGTATTTTCAGGGGTCGCGACCCACAGGTTGAGAACCGCTGGGTGAACTGGAGAAAAGAAGGTGTCGTGAAGAGTAGAAAACACATCCGCGGTCCTGTCCACGCTCACGGGAGCCGGGCAGCTGTATGTGGGGAGGGAGGATGAGCGTGGCAGCGGGCGGCAGCTCGCCGAGTTCTTCGAGGGGCAGCTGTAGGTTGTGCCAGGCCGCGGCTCCAGGAGCGTCTATCGGGGCTTAAAGTTACAGAACCTCCCGCGAGCATCGCATTGGCACCCGAGGTCGAAGGTCGGCAGGTAGGCGCTCAGGAGCCCGTGGCAGCCTGGTTTCCCCGAGGTCGCTGAAGGTCACTGCTGCTCCTCAGAGTCCTTCCCGAAGCACTGGGCCTCCCAGACGAGGCCGGGGCACAGCGTTCCTTGTCACCAACATGTCCCCACACCTGCGGCTCAGCCCCTCGGCCTCCCCCACACCTGTCCCTGGCGGGTCTCCCTGTCTCCCTGCATCTCACTCTTACCACATCCCCAACCTGAACCCCGATCTTTCCCTCAAACCTGCTTCTCGGCCCCGCCCCTCCTCCTCCAACAGAGACTGGAAGTTGCTGAGGCCAAAACCCTCGGAGGCACCTTGATGCCTGTCTACCTCTTACCATGTGGTCCGTGACCCTCCTGCTGGCTCCACCTCCAACAGGTGTCATGGGCCCAGCCGCCCTGGTCTCGGTAGCAACCACACTGGCTGAGTCGGATCGTGGCTTCTTTGCTGGAGGGCGGACAGCTCCCCCGGAGCAGCCCGAGTCCCAGGAGGACACAGTCGCCCTCCTTCCCCACCTGTGCCCCACGACTCCCGGCCAGCTGCTGTCCCCTTGCTCAGGCGTCCAGTGGTTTGCTCTGCTTTGCTGGCCCCAGGCCCCTGGACAGCTCCCTGCCGGTGGCCACCTGCTTCCAGCTGCTCAGCTGTCACCTGGGCTCTGAGGCGTCACTGCCCACACCCCGCCCCTCCCCGTTTCTCACACCACCTACCACCCCTTAACGTGCGTGTCATTAACATGATCTGTCTACTTTCTGCAAAGACAGAGATTTGGTTTGGTTTTATGTCCTCACTGCCGGGAGCCCGGACGCTCCACAGACATTCCCAGTATCGGTCCTGCTTTTGAAGGGTTTTCTCTGACTTTTCTAACTCAGGCAAAGGGTAGATGACAAGGGCTTCCCGTCCCAGGGGAGCTGTTTCCAGAGCCTGGAGCTGGAAGGAGCTCCTTCTGTCCTTCTGGACCCGCGAGAAGGCGCAGCCCCATGCTCCCTCCTCACCGTGCTCCTGCTCGCTCGGCGAGGACTTCCAGCCAGAACGGCCCGCTCTGCCTTCCTGGTGCTCAGACAGAAACGTGCTGCTTCACGCTCCCCACCCTTCCGCGCACCCTCTCTCTGCGCTGTAGCCCAAGAAGGAAGCAAAGAACTTAAAATGCGGCCCCTCAGAACCCCAGCAAACGCTCCCGGTCCACATTCCCCGGCCTGTGCGGCTGCGGGCAGTCGTCCCAGGAACCAGTCCCTGTTTATCTGGGCGGCGTGAGGAGCGGGCGATCACAGGAAGCCCTGAGCCGTGTCTCTCTCGGTGGGTGAGCTGGGAATTACTGAAGATGCGACATGGTCCCTAGCAACTCGGCCAGCAGCCATGTGTCCCCTCCGTGCTGACTGTCGGATTCGTCCTTGCAGACGCGGTTCCCTTTCGAGGACCAGCGCTCATGTTCTATGCGATGCAGCTCAGGAGAGGGTGACTCTCCTTCCACTCCCGGCTCCAACACACTCCTTTCGCCCAATCGGTGTTTTGCAGTCACACCAAAGGGCTGAGTTCCCATCATAACATCCCTTTAGGTCCATGAAGATGTCTCATAAGCGTTTTCTGCCGAGCGCCCCATTTCCAGGGCACTGCAGCGAGTGACCCCGCATTTTGTGATTAATAGACTGAGCGAAGGGGGTCGCGCAGAAGGCGTCCCCTGCTCTTCGGGGCGA